TTCCCAGACGCCTCTGCCATTGAGTCAGCTACGAAAGCTGGAAACTACAGCTACTTATAGTGCTCTGCTCTATCTGATGTCTTAACCGTCCCTTCCCTGTTTGTTCCCAGATGAATGTCCCACAGTCCAGCTCTCTTTTGCTGAGCAATTCCAACAAATGGATCACCTCAAACTCACGGAAAAAAAAAGAAAAAGAAAAAAGAAAAGCTATACTAAATGGATTACCAGTAAGATGTAGGAAAACATTTGGGAAAACGACAGAGACTGAGACACAAAGATCTCTTCTGCAGGAGACTGGAACATAACCTCCCTGTGTAGGGTTATCTGATCTAATAAACTGAACACAAGTATAACAATGCTTCATGTCTCTTAAAAGAGTAGACTAAATCCAACCTGATCGGGACTGAAGACATGCAGTTCTGGGAAGGGGCCAAGCCACATTCCTTGGAAATCTTATGGACCAGATTTAACATTTACCACACCCAGCAGCACCAACAAGCACATCTTTCGCGCAGACTAGAGTGGACGAAAAGAAACAGACTAAAATTGAAGGAATTACAAGCACAGCATAGCAAATCTTGGTAAACCCCAGGATATTTTAAAATGCTCAAGCATTTTCACACACTTTCTTTCCTAAAGATACATGATAATCTTCAGCCCATAGCAAGACATAATGAAGATACACAACAGAAGCACATTATAAGGTGCATCACTGCCCAAATTAATGACTCTGGAAAATGAAAACCTACTAAAAATAGGACCAAAATTCACTAGGTCAGCCTTAATTACAGAATGATTCTGGCTAAGTCTCTTGTGGGCATGACAGAATACAGGTAATAAAGTAAAAGTTATAGTGGGTTATTTTTGCAGTGAGACCACATATCCCAAGCTCTTTGCAGATAAGGCATAATTCGTCTATAATACTTTATGTCAGAAACCTGACATGAGAAGAATCTCCAAAAGAAATTCAATAGCATTTTTGGTAGACATCAAGGATGTAAATAGTTGTGTCATACAAATCAGACACCCAGGAATGCACAGGGCATCACACTACTTCTAAAGGCAAACTAATTTAACGTGCATAAAGATACTGAAATTCTGTTTTTATGTAATTTCTAAAAATCAAAGCAGGCACTGCCTGCTAAATTTTTATTCTTTTAAAATAAAGTGAGAATAAAAATGTGACTGTCTTTAATGGGAAAAAAACTCAAACCAAAACACCAGACAAGTGGCTTAGCAGCTGAAATCCAAATATTCCACAATATAGCTGAGCAATTAGGAATAACTGAAACCATTGTTTAAAATATGCAGTTGCTTCTGCTCTACAGAGAAGTGTGCAGACAGGAGCACAGCATCTCAGATTTCAGTTGAAACAACAAAAAGCCCCAGACTTGGGGAGGTACCCCTGCTTAAATTGAGAATGAAAAGAGCAGTAGACTTCCAGGCCCTGAGGTATATGTTCAGCTTCAAGGTCTGTGTTTGAAGCATTCACAGCTTTCCTGGGAAGAGGAAATCTATAGGAAAAGGATAAGCACACAGTGGCACACCTGGTGCAGGAAGATGCAGGTCAGGTTTATGATACAGCAGCCCCTCTATTCACTTCACAGCTTGATCCTCCTCTGATCTTGATGGCTGTAACCAACTACAGGGTCTAGATGGACAGGAACAGGACACCATACATACAGCATAAGTCATGTTTAGAAATATAAAAAACTCCTATGAAAGGCAAGAGTTTCAAGGGGAGTCTGGACAGGCAAAGAGCAGTCTGTCTAGAGAAAAAAAAACAAACAACAAAACACAGATCAATCCAAGGTTTTCTGTCCTGCAACAGCCATGCTTCTTGGGACTCCTTGCAGTGGTGTAAATATTTGATATGGAGGGATGGCTGTTCCATGACCACCTGCTGAATGCTGTGCTCAATGCAAGACAGGTCAAACCTGTAGTGCCATGCAAGCATCTGCTCTGACATCCACAAGGCTGCTTTACAAAAATCTCATCAAAAGAGGTTTCTTCTCACACTGCTCAGAAAGATATCATCAGCTTAGCTGAGGGAGTTTTAAACAGCCAAGATTTCCCTCCCAGCATTCAAGTATATTTCTCTAATCAGCTCCTAAAAGCACTATGATTTTTTGATCTGGAGGCTGCATGACCTTTTCTAGGACATTGATACAAGATGAACAAATAACTGCTGAGCCTCTGAGCTCAGCTGTTACGTCAAGATAAATTAAAAATGTTCTCTTGATGTCCAGTCCTTCTTGGATTCAGTGAGTTAGGGACAAAAGCTGTTTCTCTGTCTTTTGCTTTTTGTAATTATTTTAAAACTCTGGGAATCTGGAATGCCACAGACAAACCTACAGTGGGGTCAGAGATATTTCAGAGATCCTTACAGATGAGAAACTCAAGGTTCCTGATTTTTCTACCTCAAAATAAGATTTTGCAAACAGTTTGAAGTGGGAAGTAGAGAAGGAACAGCTGTGAAAACAAGCAAAATTTACAGAGTCTGTTTACATATTACAATGGTTCCAGGAAAACAATATTAAATTTTAGGGCAAATCCTGGAGCATGGAGTGGTACAAACCCAGCTCAGACTGGCTGGAGAAATTCCAGTATGTTTACAATCCAGCAGTGAGAAGTGTCTCATTGGCTTATATCTCTAAGCGAGTCAGGAAAGCAGGTAGTTTTCAAAAGCATCAGTTTCTAAGCTAACCTTCTCCCAAGTTTGAGATTCAATCAAGTCAAGCAGCCATGCTCTCCAAGTCTGAATGTGAACTATAGGTTGAGAAATATCACCCGAATAGAAGCTCTGTGAACCAGATTGCGTTCCCCCGGCCAAACAAGTTTAGCAGCAGCTTCCCTGATTTTGGGGTCTTCTCCAAGACTCTTCTCTCATAGGCAAAGAAGCAAAGTCTGCACTGATCGACAGTGAGCAACAAGAAGCAACAAGGAAGGACTTTTTCACTCTGAGGATGGTCAGACATGGGAACAGGTGCCCAGAGAGGCTGTAGAGTTTCCAGCCTTGGTATTCAGTTGAATTTTGAAAATCAAGGCCCTGAGCAACCAAATCTAATAGGACCTGTTTTAAGTGGGAGTTTGGACAGGATGACATCTGACAGTTTCTTCCAAACAAAATTATTCTATGATTCTAAGAAACATGCCTCTGTCTCTTTCCCCTTGCTGCTCTTGAACTATGCTCTTTTATTAAGGCCAGCCATGGAAACTAGGCTGGTCTCAGCTAACGCATCTTTGAAGGGAAATTAAAACACAAGAACCTGGCTATCAGGTCTGCTGATAAACATTTTTTCCTTGGTGTTACATGACATCACTATTTCTGAATTATGACTTGACTCTTTGACCTGTGAGCATCATAGCTTTGTCACACCCTACACAAAGATCAGCCAATCTGTAAGGACACTGGACAACTTTTAGGATCAAAGAATGGCTACTGCCACTGAAAAGAAAACTAGATATAGATCCTATTCTTTTTTGCAGTAACAGAAGTCAGCACAAAATCTCAGGGACTAATGAGCTCATGCAGCCAGTCTCTGGCTCATCTTTGGTCCTACAACTAAATTCTAGTTAAACAATTGTTGTTCATATTTCTCAGTATATAGATAGAGGTGCAAGCTTACAACACACCCAATTGTCAGGAAAGTCAAACTGTAGAGAGAAAATTAGTTAAAGAATGGCTATAGTAGGATTTACCCAGCTACCATTGTACAGGACTTTTTGGGTGTTTGGCCAACTTATTTGTAAAATTCTGATCTTGTTTATCTTATCTTTAAGACTATACATTCTGCAGAAGGCTAAACAATCTACTTTTAAACATCTGCTAGCTAATCTAGATCTTTCTGTATGATGTAACAACATCTGTTTTTTTTTTTTAAATGGCAGAAAAGAACAAGTGTTCTCACAGAGCCAGCCTTTGATTTTCAGCTTTCTACCCTGCAGGCTATCCAACTCTGAAGTCTTCTGCCAGTGGAGAATAAGCCAGTTTTCATCTGCAATCTGCACATGCTGGCTGAAGAAAAAAATACCAGTCCAATGCCCTCCTTGGCCAAAGGAAAGAAGGGACACAATCTTCTGCTGGCATTTTTTTCCCCAAGGGTGATGGTGATGGATTGGCACCAGCCAGAACTGTGTATATTGACAGTTACCTAGAGGGAAAAGCAAGATGAGCCTACAAACTGCTCCAGATCTGCTGCTTTTTTGCAGGTTGGAAGAGTTTTCTCAGGATAACTTCCCTCCAGTTGGGGCATGTCACTAATTACCTCACATTCTTCTCTGCCTCCTTCTCCTTGCAGCAGCGCAGCTCAGCAGCACAGATATACCACACATGACATGCCTTATTCTCACAGTGCCTGTAGGACCAGAAATCTGCAGAAAGCTGGTACCTCTGGAAGTGTTGCATACAGAACAGCCAGAGAAGCAGCAAATCTTGTCATGTGGGATGGCAAGGAGGAACAGGAAAACTGGTATAGCATACAGGAGCATTAACTATCTCCTCATTTCTCAGGCATAAGCAAATCATCCTAGCTCCATGGGGCAATTGTGCCAGTCAGATGTTCTGGGAATGGATGGAAAGATTTCAGAGTGACTGCACACCCCCACCACTTTGGGAGGTATGTGCTACCTCTAAATTACTTTTGCTCCTGATTTTTTTACCACTAACATGCTTTTTTGTTCCCCCTGGTTTTAAATTAGGTCTTTGTATTGCTTCTACTCTAGGTTTTAGCTCTTCAGCAGAATATCACAGCTACAAACACAGTAAGCAGATGCCACGGGAGCAAATGAAACTGCATTCCTGGCCCTGAGGCCTAGCATGCTGTTTTCTGTCAATGCTTCTCATGCTGTGAGTCTCCATACCAGAGGAAGAAAAACACATATAATCAACTATGTCTCTGTATTTCCTGCCAGCTAAAAAAATAAAACTGAAAAAAGCTAAAACAATCTTTCTGAAATTCTCATTGAAGACTAAAATTGATCAAGACAGCAGTACTTACCAGAATTTCCCCCCCAAATAGAGCAAGTTTACATTCACCACATTTCCTCAAAAATGCCTTGAAAACATGCCCTGTAAAATAAGAGAAAAATTGAAAGAAAAAAATTAGTGACTGGAACACCACAAATTATGTTACACTTCTTTCTCACTCTGCTAGCATTTATCACAGAAATTCCACCATTATTCCTGTTTTAGGGAAGGAGGTAATTGGATTTGAACCTTCACAACTAATTATTAAATTCCAATGGTATTATGCAAAATATTAAAATAATTGCAAGTCTCCCTCAGACTGCTCAGACACATCACTGACACGACAGCTATTCATATTTCAGGGAGACGAGGTCAACAACATGAAATGCTCAGCAGCGTACAGCGAGTGTGCCAATTATTTTAGATCCAGCCCTAAAAAAATTTGTCAACCCAGTATCTTTCAGTGATTTTGCTTTAAGAAACTGTTTTTGAAATATGATGCACGTAAGGCTCTCGACAGCCTCCTTGTTTGAAAGCTACACAAAGAAAAAAAAAGAGGTTGTGCCCCACTACATTTTTGACTATATTAATTACCTGGCATTCTCTAGAAGAACAAAGAGAGAGAAGAAGTAAGTCAATGCAATATCCAGTTTGACACACGCTAGGGTCAGTCTGAAGAAGATGGAGAGCAGAAGTGACAAATGCCATCATTTTGCCAACCCTGAGTAAATTTCAGATGACAGCTACTCCTTATTTTTCCTTGAGGCAAAATCTTTGAAAGAACAACTCACAGAGCACAGACTAACAATGATGTTAAAAGGTTTAGTTGGTAAAATCCTAGAAAATGGAAGAGCTATGCTTCTGCTGATGTTCAGGTTTGGGAGCGGTAATTGTACAGCAAACAGAGAAGGACACATGTTTCAGTGCCCAGGTGCCCATACCAGTGAAACAAGACTGAATTTGAACTGCTTTAAACTCCCATTCCCCCTCAAGTACATGGCTGAATTTTCCACGAGAGAAGCATCTGTGAAATTACTGCTGGATGAGTAACTTTACAGCTATACCCAGATGACTTGGAGCCCTACATTATTGATTGTGGAAACCTGCCTCAGCTGCAGAAGCAGCAGCTCTTTGCACCAGCACCTCTCCTGAAGGATGCTGTAGGCATCTGCAGGAAAGGAAGGGCAAATGACTTCTTTGGTCAAATTACTTTTACTGGTCATTGTTACATGAAAAGTAGCTAAGAAAATAAAATTTCTATTAAGGAATAACCAAATACATTTTCCTTAAAAGGTAGCAACTGGATTACACTGCTCTAAATCCCAATTAGCAAGTAGACTTCTGATCTCATAAGACTGAGACTTCATATTGGGTGGAGAGTTCAGAGCAGGGAGAGAAGGAAAAAAAAAAAGAATCATTACAAATCAGAAGAGGCTGTTGTGAAAGATTTTAGGAACAGACATTTTAAATCACAGAACTACAAACCAAAATGTTGTCTTCTCTGTTCACTTTCTTTGTTTAGTAGTTGAGAAAAAAACCTGGGCATATCAAGGAATGAAGAAAAAAACCCAATACCCTCTCCTCCTCAAACACCTTTTGTACAGCTTGGCAGAATAGTTGAAAACACTGAAATAAAAGATGGCTCTTAACTGCTTTGCTCAAACTCGGGGAAGGTGGTTATTATTTGAGTACCATCCATTTCCCTCCCTAGCTTCCAGGCATTTGGCCTGGAAAGAAAAAATCAAGTCTAGAAACTCTGCTTCTGCCTCTGAACTAATTGGATAACATCTGCATGCAGAAAAGTTAGGAGCTTAAGAGACGAGCCAGGTCTGAAACAATCCAATAGCACCTCAACTCTGGATTAGCTCATTATTTATTTCTACACCAAGAGACTGATTTAATAATTTCCCCAGAGAAGTGACAAATAAGGGAAACTCTGTACTCCACGCTGCTGGTCCCATGAATACTTGAAAGACAGGGGCTGGCACTGCTGCCAAAAGAGGCTGAGCCCCTCCTGGTACTGCTGCGGGGCTTCTGGATGTGGCCCCAGCAGCGCTCCCTCCCTCCCCCCTCCCAGCACAAATGCCTGTCTGGGGGAACAACTGGGATTAAAATGAACTGTGTGAGTTCTTTAGCCCAGTTCAGAAAGTAACTGGGAAAAAAAAAAAAAAAAAAAAAAAAAGGCCTGTGCTGGCACAAGTGAAAAAGGGAGGAAAGGATGGGCAGGTGGATGTAGGATTTCTTTGGGGAATGGCAGGTCTGCTTACTTGGCTGCAGTGCTACTTTCAACCAACAGTAAAACTCCACTGTTAGGTACTGGATTGCAGGCACCTGCCTTAATACATGCTACAGGAGTCTAGTCCAAGCCCTCCACTGAGACTATGTATGACAAAAACTAGCAAGAGGGCTAGGTCAAGGGGTGTCTAGTTAAATCTGAGGCAGAGACACAATTTACCACATCTCTAACCTTGCAAGTTATTCTGAACTTTCAGGGTGGCACGTAGAAAGCTTTAAATTTTCCAGGGGGTGCTTTTTGCTTGATTTTAGAAGATGATGCAAAGCATGCCCTGGCTCTTCGGCTACAAAGCAGATGAAGTATTTGGAGGCAGAACAGGGAGGGAGAAGGGAAGAGAACATTTTTCGCTGTGTAACTGGGGGTCAGGGCTGGATGTGGCTTACAGAGAAAAACAAAGATTATTCACTCTTTCTTTGTATTGAGTCTGGGGTCTGTACAGAACTCTGTTTTAGCCTTAATGATTTTCATTCTACCTAAGCATGTAGGAGGAATATACCTTTTTCTTGAAGGCTTTGAATAATGTTACGTATCTCCAAATTCTGACCAGTACTTTTCACAAAAACTTTGCTGACTTTGGAGAACACAGCATAGGAAATGCAAAATAAACTAATAAGGCTTTAAGGCACACCAGTTTTGGCTCCTTTTACGATTAGTATAATAGAAGAGGTGACAAAAGGGTAGTCTGACCAGAATTACTAACAGAAAAGATCTTGCTTTCCCAAGTTTCTCTGTTGGGAAAAATGACAACCTTGAGGCAGCCATCTGACTAGTCAATGAAAGGTGCACTTCTTTTGGATGTCTGTTTTCACAAATAGTTCTTTTAACAGAAGGCATTCACCATAAAAGGTTTTGATTTGCTTCTGTTATGAAGAGCCGGCTATAAGTGTACAAAGGTATATCTTAATTTCCAGTGGGCTGCTGGCAAAAACTGAATGGCATTTAGTCAA